GAGCGCAGCCATCGGCAGCCGCGCACAAGCGCACCTTGCGCCGGCCGCCAGGCAGCCAATCAGCAGTCCCCGGCGCGCGAGGCCTCTGGGAGTTGTAGTCTGATTTCAGTGTCGCTCCCGACCGAAGAGAAGGTTCAGAGCGAAATGGCAGCGAGCTGAATGCTCAAGGTTGGGGTTCCTCCAGCTGGCTCATTTGTGGCGAACCGAGAGTCTCAAGGTCCCCACGTTCAGGAGACTGAACACTTGAGGTCAGCAGGCTGGTGTGCACAGCAGATGGTGTGCAGGCGCCTGTGCCGTACCTGCTGACTTCCGGAACGATCAGGCCGAAGTCCCGGCTCCCTGACCCTCGGAGGCTCCGGGGCTGGGCGCTGGGGAACTCGGTGGAGGAAACTCGACCCCGATTTCACGACGAGACTGGGAAGGTCTCTTGATGTCCAAGTTCTCAGAGCCCGAGAAGGGGTGCTAGTTGAGTGCCATTTATTTATCCTTTCAATAAATACTCGCTGAAGTTCTACTTTCTGCAGGATCTGCGCTAAACCCGAGGGTACTATGTGGAAACAATGCCCCAAACTCACTCTCCATTGAGCGATCCAAGTAGACTTTTTACAAGGCTGAAAGCACCTGTCCGCATTGTCAGCGAACTCAGCAAACGCCTGTTTTGCATCGCTGAGCGCAACAGATAAGGACACTGGACTTTGGTCATTGAGAACTGAGAGTTCAGTCCGTGGAGACTCGTGCAGAGCTGGGTCTGGCAATGAGGGGGTTGTATGGGGTTGCAGTAAGGAGTCTTACTTCCCTCCACTAGAAATGTGTAGGATGCTCCTTACAGACTCTAATCTGTCCTTGGCTGTAAGATTGAGTGAGCCTTGAGCAGCACATAGCATTTTCCTGTAATCCCACCGTTCTGGGAGGCTGAGGCAGAGGATGGCAAGTTCAAACCCTGCTCGGGCCACATACTGTAGTGAGTTTGAGCCCAGCCTGGAACACAGCAATATCCTCTGTGTGTGTGTGTGTGTGTGTGCGCGCACACACACACACACACACTGGGCGTGGTGGCCCATGCTCCTACTCCCAGGATTTGGGAGAATCGTTTCTGTAAGTATTTCATCCTGGAGTTCATGACGAGACCTTGTGTCAAAAAAGGGGGGACGGGGATTTAGCTTAGTGGTGCCACCACCTGCCTTGCAAGCACAAGGTCCTGAGTTCGATCCCGAATACAAAAAAAAAAAAAAAAAAAAAAAAAGAAATGGCAGGGGAGTGATCCTACAATATCTTGAGAGCTGAGTATAGTATGACACAGCACTTATCACCAACTATTTTTGTTATTTCTTTTCTGTGTAACAAAGCAAATCACTCCTATAGTTCAATATCTTAAAATACTAAACATTATCTCCCAGTTTCTGAGAGATAGGGATGCAGGAGTGACTTGGTTGTGCTATTCCTTAAGGGCACCCTGAGGTTTTGGTCAAAGCTGCAGGATCTCATGTTGTATAGTTGTGTCAAGTGACTATTACTGAAGTGGAAAGTTTTGTTACACACTACAGTTCTTCCAAGAGGATGGAAAGCACACCAAGAGTGTAGACAAGCTTTATTCTTAGCACCAGTGGGTCAATCCAGGTTCACACACCAAGAGACAGACCCCCCGCCTTTGGGGTTGAGCAGGGCATGTCATACTCTCACAAGAGGACTGGCTTGCAGGAGTTACAAAGAGTACAAGTCACATGGGCTCAGCAAATACATTGGTTATTAGGCATTACAGACAGCAAGCTCAGCGCACAGAGTTACACCTTATTTACAATTGGTGGGGAGGTAGAAGTAACAAAACTGTTCGAGAACAAAGAAAATCTCTGAGATGCCTGAGAGGAAGTGCCAGGCTAGGCAAGTGTTGAAAGAATGGGGGCAAACTTCTCCATCAGAGAGAGGAGAAGCAGAGAGGCCCATTCCTCATTTACTACCACATGGGCCTTTCCATAGGTTTGAGTTGAGTCTTAGCTACTTTCTTGTCATTGCTTCTCAGCCTTTTGGATAAGATCAAGCATAGTTACTTTCTTTCTGTGACAAAACACCGACAACCACAAGTTAAAGGAGGAAAGGTTTACTTTGGCTCACAGTTTGTAGAGATTTCAGCCCGTAGTCAGTTGGCTTCAAGACAGGGCAGATGATAGAGGAGAAACAGTTCATGGGGTGGCAGGCAGGAGGCAAAGAAGCAAGCCTTCCTTCTTTTCCTTTTAACCCCATCCTGGCTCAAAGCCTATTAGTACCACCCGCAGCTAGGATGGGCCTTCCCATTATCCACACCCAGAACCATGCTGATCCATGGACTGATCCAGTTATTGCACCCTTAATCTGGTGTGGCAGTCCAGCCGTCACAACACGAACATGCCTGAGTCGGGGAGTGAGGATTGAGAAAGGAAAGAACACTCAAGCCTGAGCGGAGACAAAGAGAAGTCTGAAACTTTCCCAGCTCAGCAAAAAGACTGTGCCTGTCTTAGGTGAGAAATATCCAGAGAAATCCCTTACCCGTCGTCAAGCCATGAGAATTCTGATACTCATGCTCTGTCTTAGGTTGGATATTTCTCTACACTTCTCTTGCCCATCTTTGACTACCAGCCTCTGCAGGGGTTAGATCATAGGTTGTGGAGGCTTGACATGTAGCTTTCTCTACCTCTATCAACATCTGTAACCCTTGATCTTCATACTAGGACTCATTAATTTTTACAAGCACCATTATGAAGAGATGTTGTCTCAAAACCATCACAGAATGAAAGGAAGTCATCATTTTTGAGAATATACAATTGGTCAATTTACAATTAAAACAGCTGTTATATTCACTATCAGTTTCATAAACAATCTCTGTATTTCTTACCAATAACATAAGGAGCATTAACACAAGACATTATCTTTTTCTTTTGTTCTTTGACTTGAGATAACACAGGATTTATGGTATTTCTCATATTAAAGGTCCCTATGTTAAAAACATTGAAACTAAGGCATCTTTGACATCTGACCATAAACATGTTTCTCCCAATGCAGTAGCAAGTTTCCAAATGTTGGTTTGAGGAAAACCTGAATCTGTCCACCAAAGTCCTGCAGACAAGCTTAAGTCCAAGTGATTAGTCCAAAAACTTTTGAGATGTGTCATTAAATGATCTTTCTTGAGGTATAGTAACATAGCACCTCTTCCATAAAATAGTAGTACTGCTTATTTTTGTTTCTTCTTCACACAAAGGTAATGATTGTGGAGGTTACTGTCCCATGATACTGGATGTAGATTTGTCAGGATGATCCACATGATGAACCAATCTCTCTGGTAACAATCGAGCTCCATCATGTTCCTGTGAGAAAACACAAACATATCCTCGGCCCCATATTAAAATGGGATTGGGTCCATACCATTGACCAGTTAAGGGATCTCTCCATTTTACCAAGGTATATGGAGAACCTTGTGGATGCCAGAATCTTTCTGCTGCTGAATGTCCATGCTTATAAATTTGTAAAAAATTTAGAATATAAATAGCATGATTTAAGTAATTTCTGGGTGAGGAGGGCTAAAACTCCCCCTTTTTTATTTTTAGAAGTTGCACTTTTAATGTGCCATGAGCACATTCAACTATTCCTTGTCCTTGAGGATTATAGGGAATACCTGTAATATGCACAATATGCATTTGTTGGCAGAATAGTTTGAAGGCCTTACTAACATATCCAGAACCATTATCTGTTTTTATTTTTTGAGGTACTCCTAAAATGGAGAAACAATATATACAGTGAGCAATAACATGTTTAGTAGCTTCTCCTGTTTGAGCAGAAGCAAGACTAAATCCTGAAAATGTGTCAACAACAACATGTACATACCTTTGTTTTCCAAACTCCATTACATGAGTAACATCCATTTGCCATAGTTGATTAGGAAGCAAACCTCGAGGATTAACACCATAATGTGGAACAGAAGAAAACTGAGGGCAAGTGGAGCACTGTTTAACAATTTGTCG